AGTGAGCGGGAACCGGTCTGCATGTGGGATCCGAACCCTCAGCGGGAGCGCCGCCGCGCTTGCCAAGTGGTACACTACAGCAGTGCGCCACCGGGCCGGCCTAAACTAATTGTTGAAGGCTACCAGTTATGCTGATGCTAAATGACTAATTTTCACTACACATTTTTTGTTTACAGCTGTGGGTAAAGACACATGACACAAACACATGCCTGTCCAACCACTCTTCCCTGCCCCTAAACTGCCCTCTCCTTTCAGCCCCAAATTCAAAAGCCCAGAATTGGCTGCAGGGAGCTACTCAAGGTAACTAACAATAAGTCAAAGACAATAACCACATGATTTGTCACTAGACTTCAATATAAAAACTTCACTTAAGCCAATTTATTAAGAACGTTTTAGTCCACAATGCTATACACTAACCCTTTGGGATCAAGAAGGTCTCGAACTTTTTCATTATAAATTTCCATGTAGGACACTTCAACTTTAAAACTCTGCTCTTCATTTTCCTCTTTCTGGGTTCGTTCAAAGAGTCCACTGCAAAGTCTTGGGATTAATCCAGGCTGGTCAGCTGTGCCCATCATGGTGTAAGATTTTCCAGACCCTAAAAAATGAAAATCACAGTTATTACTGTCTCTTTAAGAAGCTTAAATATATAACTCTCCTTCCATTGCTCATAATAAATTACCAGCACTTAGCAAAATGTCCAAAACACAATAATATACCCAAACATATTGATGAGAGTAATAAGTACAGAAGTTTTCCTGTTACACATGCAAGAGTCCAAAGTAAACATCCTTTAGAAAGAAAGCCTTCTTTAACCACCTTTATACTTCAAAAAATACCTAAAACAACTGAACAATTAGGTTCGAAAAAATTTTTAAATAAACTGGGAAGATCTGTATGATTAATACTATTGTGCCTGTTCCCAACCACTAACCACAGCACAAAAAATGCAGGTTATCCTTATGGGCCCCAGAGAAAATGAACTTACAACCCTTTGACAATACTGTGGAAACCAAAGAACAGCCTTCTTTTTCTAATATAGAATTATTTCCTCCATTGTAATAGAAGTACACACTCATTAAAGAAAATTTAGAAAACACAGGAAAATAGAAAGAAAAAATCACCATAGTCCTACCCTCCAAAGCAGAAACTACTGATACAAGTATTATTCTTTCCTTCTTTAGTAGCAGTAAGTTTGTAAACATTCTTTTAACCATAGAAGTTGCTGATTTTGTCACTTGACACTTTATGATAGTACCTAAAACTCACGTACCACTTCCTACTACCGGGCCTTTTCCAAAGTATGAATGTGGTAACTCACTATGACAACCCCACAAAGAAGGTCTATAATTATCAACACTTTACAGATAAGGAAACTGAGGGGCACAGAGGTTAAGTAATTTGCCCAAATTTCCCAGCGGGC